GGAATTCTGGGAGTTGAAGTCCACATGCCTTAAAATGGTCAAGGTTGAGAAACACTGCGAGTCTGGGACCTTCAGGGCTTCATGCAGCGCATAAACCAGAAGCCCAGTTGGAGACTTCCCGGGAAACCAGGCAGGTTGGCCGTGCAGCCGCCTGTACTTTCCCGGGCACGTCGGTGGCTGCAGCCGCGGGGTTCGCCGTCGTGTTCTTCTATCATCGGGACATTTTCCTCGCCAGTCACGGCGGCTCCAAGGGCCGCTCTGGGGCGTCCTCAGCCGTCCCTTCCCGGCCTCCCTCCCTCGCCCACTCGCCGCCCACCACGACTCCCAGCATGCCCCGTGGTTTACACTTCCGTCGCCGAGCCAGGACACTTCCTTCTGTCGCCGGCCCGTGCCGGAAGTGGGGGCGGGACTCTCCCGCCAATCGCCGGCGCCGTCACCCCAGCGACCAATCGGCGTCCTCCTCTTCCTCCTCCTCGGCGAGCGAGATGGCGGCCAGCGCGGTGCGGAGGGGCCTTTTGGGCCCGGCGCGGAGGTGAGTCGAGGCCTCGGCCTTGATTTGCGTGCCCTCCGGCCGAGGGGGCTCCACTGGGGAGGGCCTCCCTGCCCCATTCCCCCTCCAGCGGCTGCCCCTGGGGGTTTCTTCCGCCCTCCCTGGCCTCGGCCGCCGTCCTCCTGCAGGGACGAGGGTCCCCCCTGGCTCCTCCGCCGGGGCTCCGGCCTCTCCTGCCCCGCGCCGAGGGCCTCAGCCTCCCCCCCCTTCCCGTTGCAGGCTGGGGCTCGCCGGGTCGCGGCGTTTCAGCAGCGGGGGCGGCTACCCCGGCACCCCGCTGACGGCCCCTCTGCCGGGGCTGCCCAAGCCCGCCTTCGCCGGCCTGGACGGGCCGGAGGGCTTCGAGACGGAGGTCAGCGCCCTGGAGGGCGGGCTGCGCGTGGCCTCCCAGAGGAGGTTCGGACCCTTCTGCACCCTGGGCGGTAAGGGGCGCGGGGGGCGGCGGGTGGAGGGGGCAGGCGCCCCGGCGGGCCCGACAGCTGACCCGTCTCTCCCGCTTTTCTGCCCCCGGACCAGTCCTGATCAACTCCGGGTCGAGATACGAAGCCAAGTACACCGGCGGCGTTGCCCACTTTCTGGAGAAGTTGGCCTTTTCTGTGAGTGCCTTACCCAGGTTTGGTTTGGGAAGCAAAAGGGCCGGGCTGACGGCCAGCCTGTGGGGGTTGGGGGGGGGGCGTGGACGTTAAGCGAGGCCCCCCCTCCAGGCAGGCCACGTTTCCCCCCCCCCCCACCCTTTCTGTGCCTTCCCGCCTGCCTGCGGGGCTCTTGGCCTGGATTCTGCTCCCAAAGCTGCCAGCAAACCTCTAATGCAGTGTTTCTCAACCGTGACCGTTTTAAGGCATGTGGACTTCAACTCCCAGAATTCCACATGCCTTAAAACGGTCAAGGTTGAGAAACACTGTGTCTAATGTTACCTCCCTGGGGAAATTGGTGGTGATGTATTAGGGCAGGGGTAGGCAACCTTGGCTCTTTTATGACTGGTGGACTTCAACTCCCAGAATTCCTGAGCCAGCACGGCTCAGCTTGGAAACCTCTCCCTTTCCCCTCAGCATGGCTGGCTCAGGAATCCTGGGAGTTGAAGTCCACCAGTCATAAAAGAGCCAAGGTTGCCTACCTCTGGCCTAGGCCTAGGTCTAGGCCGCTTCATGACTCGTGGACTTCAACTCCCAGAATTCCTGAGCCAGCCATGCTGAGGGGAAAGGGAGAGGTTTCCATGCTGAGCCATGCTGGCTCCGGAATTCTGGGAGTTGAAGTCCACGAGTCATAAAAGAGCCAAGGTGGCCTACCCCTGTATTAGGGTTTAACTGCATATAATTTAGCTGCATTTTATTTTTGCCTTCTTGACCCAATCCTTCCTGAAAACTGAACTCCTTCGCTTTCTCCCTTCCTTTTCTGTTTAGTCTACAGCTCAGTTTAGCAACAAGGATGAGATCCTTCTCACGTTGGAGAAGCACGGAGGCATTTGTGATTGCCAGGTGTCAAGGTCTGTTTCCTGTCGGGCCTCCTATGTGGCTGTTGACTGGAACCTATTCCATGTGGCATACTTTCCCCCTAACTCTTTTGTCTATGGAGATTCTCAATCCTCCAGGTCATAGTTAGTGAAAAAAAGCATCTTTGGGATTTTTCCTAGCTCCCATTTTAGTATGTGAACCCCTCTATCCTTCACACCCTGGGTGGAGACCATGCCACCCCAGTAGAACATGAAACCAATTTGCTCTTCTTTCAGGGATACCACCATGTATGCCATTTCTGCAGATAGCAGGGGCCTGGACCCCATGGTCAGTCTCTTAGCTGATGTGGTTCTCCAGCCCAGACTGTCAGGTAATCTTCTAGTGTGTGTGTGTGTGTGTGTATTCAGATTTTTTGCTGACAAGAGTTAAAGATTTAAGTCTGAAATAGCTATACTAGTCTCCCACTTAAATCTTTAACTCTTGTCAGCAAAAAAACCCCGATTTTGTAATGTATCGCAGTTGCGACTTGAGCCTGCTTAACGCCCCTAGTTGGGGGGCTGCAAGGCAAAAGAGATTATAAAAGAATAGAACTGCAGTATAGCAGTCAAAATGCCAAGGTGCAATCAATCAGACCTGCCAGGTGAGATTGTCACGGCGTCTTCTGTGCCTCAAGAGAATAGAGCCAGGCAGGATTTCGCTGTCCCACCTGAACGCAAACTGCGTTGCCATAAAGATGTTTGTGATTTCTGCCAGAGGAGAACGTGGTGCAGTGGCATAATTTGGAAGGACAGGAGTGGGAGAGACCAAGATGGCAGGAGGGGTGTAGGTGGGTGCCCAATCAAATTTATCTGCTGGGAAGGAACACAGGTTGATTCTG